AGAAGAAGATAAGACTACCAGAGCAAGAAGCAATTTAAATATGTTCAGGGACCATTTTCATCTCCAGAATTAAGGATTATTTTAATAATTTACATCATTGCCTTTTCTCTTTTACTTTCATTTTTAGTTTTATCATTTTAGGATTCCCTATTTTTAATTTTTATACAGAGATTTCTTTAACTGATCATTACAATTAAGCACAAAGTCACAAATTACAAAGTCATATTTTGCTGAATCCTAGAGTTCTAAATTATTCATTCTACTTACTGTTTTTAGATTAGTTTATCCGAAAATTTCCAGTTTATTGTTGTTGTTTTTTATTTTGCACAAATAAGGCAGAGTTAGAAAAGAAAGGACATATGGAAATACCTCAAAGAGCTGGGACTAGAGGTTCCATTTGACCCAACCATCCCTCTGCTGGGTATCTTTCCAAAAGAATTAAAAGAATCATACCACAGTGATATATGCACACCAATGTTTATAGTGAGTACAGGATCCCAATGATGAATGTAACTGTATCGTATACATAGATTGTACCAATAAACTCAATAAAAAAAGAGGGAAAAAAAAAAAAGAATTAAAGCCTTTAGGAGCCAGGTGTGGTGGCACATGCCTATAATCCCAGCACTCGGGAGGCTGAGGCATGAGGATTACTGTAAATTTAAGACCAACCTAGGCTACATAGTAAATTCCAGGTCATAGTGAGTTCAACTACATAGTGAGACCCTGTCTCAAAAAAAAAAAAGAATTAAAGCCTTTACATCACATGCATATCTATGTGTTCAGCAGCACAATTCATAATAGCTAAATCTTGAAGGGGCCTATATGTTTATCAACAGATGAATAGATAAAGAAAATGTGATATTCAGACACAGTGAAGAAGTACTATTCTGCCATAAAGAAGGATAAATGAGCCATTTACAGGAAAACAGATGTATTTTGATCCCATAATGTTACATGAAATACGTCAAACACACAAGCTTAAATATTGCATGGTTTTTCTTACTTGAGAAACCCAAAATATAAAGACCAAAATAAAAAAATTAATAGGAAATAGGGAGATAGATCTTTTGCAAAAGAAAAGGAGACGAGATGCAGGATGAGGGGAATGAGGAGATAGAGGGGATGATAAAAAGGGATGAAGACGTATTATGTACATATACTAGCTTGTAACAGCAAGGAGCCACATATATGCGGCCACAGAAAGTTGAGGTTTGGATCCACACCACGAGAGAAGAACCACATCATGACTTTATATAGATTAAAGGAAGTACTTTTATAAAAGTACAGCAGATATGAACATAGTCTAATAATATATTACCACATAACGAGGCAAGAGACTGCACCAAAGATGAAAGGGGATCCTCGGGAGAAGCATCTTGTATGAGACGGAGCCTTGGGCAGGTAAGAGAGAAGATGCCAACACTGTACCCAGTCTGTTCGTTTCTTAAGTATATGTTCAGACAAAAGTGGCTTCGTGCCAACAGGCCTGCATGTCTCTGAGCAGAGTGTCTTGGGTCTGGCTAAAACCCAGAAGATTCACACAGTGCACTCAAGGCTATCTGTGCATTTCCCAGGGGAAATGGCCAGTTTCTCACAGAAAGGCAGCAGAACACCAGAATTTCACCAACTCTAGTCACTTTTAACCCTTTCCCTGACACAGCTCCCCATGAGAAACATAATAGTTACGTAGTGCAAGTGTGTACTAGTAAAAAATTGAAAAATAATTTATGTGCCACCATATGCCAAACAGAGAAAATGATAATGGGCAAGACAAACAAAATTCCTGTTATCACAGAGCTATAATCTAACAGATATATGAAACTGTTCCAGAGACAATTATCAGAGGAAGAAATTCCACAGTAACTCTCACTTAAGGTGCAAAACTCAGTAAGGGCACAATATTTCACATCAGTTTGGCTCGGTGCACATGCTTCCCACTTGGACAGACCTGCACTAAGTTACGGGGCACAACTGCAGTCCATCACCGACCATCACCACGCAGTCAGAGTCACTCTCCTGGCCTGTGTCACAAAGCAGTACCCAAACACAGAAGGAGAACCTACATGGCTCCTGGGTAGAATTATACTTTAGCAATAATGGGAACTGGAACAGCATTCTAGCCAGTTCCCATTTATAACAGTGATGTGGAAAAAAATACTGCTGGGTGCCCAGTTTGAATCTGGATGCAGCAGCTCCAAGAGTTCTCACTGTGACAGACAATAATAGAGCTTCTGAAACAGACACCCATAGCACTGGAGAAAGCAAGAACTCTTAGTCCCAGGAAGAGGAAAGAAAAGAAGTGGAAAGCATCTTGAGAAATGACTCATGTAGGATGTAGGACTGGTCAAGCTGGCCTGAAAATAACCCTCGAAACGCCAAGTTCCTCCTTAAGTACCCAAAGTGCATCGTGAAATAACACTAGCTCCAGGAAGAAAGGGGCATTATGAACGAATTTATAAAGTTTTTCTTTTGTTTCTGCAGTTCCCTCTGCTGGCCATCAAATTAGGGAATCTGGAACTGCATCTGACAACCTCCACATGCACTTTTTAATGAATTTGATCTGATTTTGTTATATGGTAATTTATTATCTGAGCTAATAACAGATAATGATCCTTGGATGGTTACAGTTCTTGTTTATTTGTTCTGTAAATGCTGCATTCCTAATTAGTAAAACCAAGAACAGACACTAAAATTAAGACTTTTACTTATACCTACAAGATTAATCAATAAGTATGTAAAGCTGATTAATGTCTATTATAGCAATATGGTAGGAAATTTATTTGGATATTAGTTATAACTACTTAGTTTAAATAACTTCAGTACACTAGTTATGATATATTTTGAAAATTAGTACCAAAACAAACAAAACAAAACAAAAATTTTTTTCACCTGCAAGCTATTTAGGGGAAATAGAAACAGTCTTATATAAAAATAACAAAACTAAGGGTCAGAGGTGAGAAGCAATTTACCACAGTTGCACAATTCATACAACAACAACAAATCCAAATCTTTTGCAAAAGTCTCTCTGAAATCACTAAACATGAAAAGCATACAACTTAAGGTTAGGAGGATAGGAAAAATCCTTCAACAAATCATCAAAATAAGCAAAGATTTATTTGTTAACTTACTAATGGAATGATGAAACTCTGTGTCAGTTCCAAAAAATAGCGCCGAAGAATAATGCTTTGAGCCTCAGAAGGACGTTTCTGTTGGACACCCTTAAAAGAAGAGACAATGAGAAACCTGCATTTAGATAAGTACCAAATTCAACTGCTTGCAAATACATTTATAACTGATATTAAAAAAATAAATAAAACCCTGGGGCCAGGGATTTAGCTCAGTGGTGCTGTCACCTGCTTCACAAGTGCAAGGACCGGAGTTCGATCCCTGATACCAAAACAAAACAAAACAAAAAAACCCTGAACTTCAACTTGAATTTATTTGAAGTGTAATTTAATTTGTGTTCTATCATGTGAAAAGAACCTTTAGACAAAGCAGGAACCAAGGAAGGAGGCAGAGGAGGAAAACCTGATCAATGGGTAATAAGTTAGAGTTGGTGTGCTACTGTACAGCAGGGTGACCACACATAACAATTATGTACTATAATCTCAAAAACCTAGAAGAAAGGATTTTGAATGTTTTCACCACAAAGAAATGATAAACATTTGAGGAGTCAGATATATTTAACCTGATTTAAATATTACATAGTAATATAGTATATATATCAAAACACCAAACAAAATTAAATTATTAAAAATTAAACAAATTTTAAAATTTTTGTTTTTAAAATATCGGTTAAAAATTAACTTAAAAGGGTCAGGGATTTAGTTCAGTGGCGCCATGCCTGCCTGGCAAGTGCAAGGTCCTCAGTTCGATCCCTAGAACCTGCCCCGCAAAAAATTAACTTAAGAAAACAGAATCTTTAGTGCAAAACCTAAGAGACTTTAGCATAGGGATGACAGCTTTATTTGCCACCCCCAGTACTGGAAATTGAACTCAGGACCTTGTGCTTGAGAGGCAGGTGTGGCGCCACTGAGCTAAATCCCCAGCCCTCATATTTACTATATTAATACTATTTTAATACTATTTATCACCTATTATTATTACATGTTAACTACCTCATGATAGAATCCATAAATCACTACACTCTCTAGTTTCTAGAATGATTAGCACTCATTTATAGATACAACCACAATATTCAAGCCTGTAATTGAATACTGCAACTTTAGTCTCTTGATATTTTATTTTGTTTTGTTTTGAGATGGGGTCTCGCTATGTAGCCCAGGCTGGCCTCAAACTCACTGTGATTCTCCTGCCTCAGCCTCCTAAGAGCTGGGATAAAAGGCATGCACCACCACGCCCAGCTTCTCTCAATTCTTATGAAACTTTGGTTTAAAAGTGAAACTCCATTTCACATTATTATATAGAAAGCACATACTGCCTAAATGGATATTCCACATCTGAACAAAGTGATTTAAATTAATAATATGAGCAAGTAATTACCTTCTGTAATTGTTTTATGATCTCTTCATCTCTATTTAGATATGGCTTGTAAGAAGTATAAACTCCTATTAAACAAAAGAAGATAAACTCCTAAGAATTGAAGAAAAGAAGGTAAATAGAAAAACCCAACTATGCAGATAAGCATATATTTAAAAATTAATAAAAGTCAGTACCAGGTTTAGAATCCAGAGTCTTTAGGTTCTTCAGTTTTTTCACTTTAACTTGCTTAGGAATTTCTCCTGAAGGAAATATCATAAACAACCTTCTAATTATAATCATATCATAAAATTGGAATTTTGTAAGATTAATAACCTAGAGGTTGTACATCAGAGATGTCCGAGCTAAAACATTTTTCTTATCATTAACTAGTATGTAAAAGTTTATTCCTGGCATTCACCCCCCACTGTCTGGAATTGAACTCAGGACCTTGCATTTGCCAAGCAAGTTTGGTGCTGCTGAGCTAAATCTCTGGCCCCTATTCCTGGTATTTTAAAACTCGATAAAGGAGGGCCAGGGATTTAGCTCACTGATTCCACTGCCTGTCTTGCAAGAGCCAAGGGCTCAAGTTTGAGCCCCAGTACCAAAAAAAACTAGATAAAGGAAATACAGGATTCTTTTCAGGGGCGGGGTATCCTGTATTTATTTATTTATTTTCCTTTTATTGAGTTTATTGGTACTTTTTAGGTATACAGTACAGTTACATTCATTATTGGGATCTTGTATCTTTACATGACAGATGGTCTTGGTTCTAATTTTTTTCCCTTGTCTAGCATTCTTATAACAGTACAGAAACATTAATAATGACCTTTCATTAATACATACCTATCATTACTTAAATTTTTCCTTTTTTTACTCGATCTGTTGTGTTAAATTTGTGTCAAATACATGAAACTGAAAATGTATGTGCCAAACAGGAATAAAATGTCCTTTCAGAGAAATGGAAAAGAAAGACATTCCTAAAGACTATAAGATACAGTACTCAAAGGCTTCTTTTTGGGGGCGGGTACCAGGGATTGAACTCAGGACCTTGCCGTTGCCAGGCAGGTACACCATCACTGGGCTACATACCTGGCCTTTCAAAAGGCTTTTGCTGATCCCTCTCCAAATCCTGCTTTTGCATGTAGAAAGAGCCCTGCCATCAAGTGGTGACAGTATGTGCAACCACAGGTCTGAGCCACACACAGAAGTAGTCAGCTGCCGTGCTGAATAGTCTGTACAGTCCACAAGGTCCCTGGCCTGTGGTCTAGGGAAGCCACAACCTAAACAACTCATAAAATGCAGAAAAATGCCTCAAGACAGACTTAAAGGCATCATGGATACAATGACTTGGATTTTTTTCCTCTCTTCCCTTCTCTGCAGAAGAATAAAAGAATCGCAGAATTGAAAGACAATGTAGAGACTAATTTAAGCCTCTAAATTCATAACGTGTTTTTCTTTCTTTCTTTCTTTCTTTCTTTTTTTTTTTTTTTTTTTTTTTTTTTTTTTTTGTAACAGGAATTGAACTTAGGGCCTAACATTTGCCAGGCAGGTGCTGTACTGCTGAGCTACATCCCTAGCCCTATAACATATTTTTATGCTAAATCATGCATTACAAGATCAAACTGCTACTTTGGGTATATATAACAGTATGCATAGGGAACACTTTCACTTGCAATCATGTTGTTAAAAAATTTAAGCGCATGTATTATTTATATTTCTATAAACTTTTTACTTTGAAATAATTTCAATCCTACAGAGAAACTGATATTGTTAACTTTCCTGATAATTTTAAATAGAATCTTGTTAAAGGAGCAAAATCATACTCACTTATTTTTTCACGCAGCAAATAACAGTAAATCCAAGGTACTTATAATACAGAAATAAAAGAGCTAAGTCATAATACAAAAGGACTCACTGCCTAACACCAAAATATGACAAAGAAAATAACAACACAGAGGAATATGAGCCAGGGTAGAACTATAAACAAGCAGGGCATGATCACACACAGCAGTAATCCACGCTACTCCAGAGGCTGAGGTAAGAGGATCACAAGTTTGAGGCCAGTCTAACAAATTAGCCAGACTCTGTTTCAAATTAATTAAAAAGGCTGGGGATGTCACTCAGCGATACAGCATCCGTGAGTTTAATTCCCAGTGCTGAGGTGGGGGTGAGGAGGGAAACACAGACAGACAGACAAAGACGGACTCAAAGAAGAGAGACAGAGACTACGGATGAACAGTGTGCTGGCCAGTTATTGAGGATCCTAGAGGTGACATTTAAGCACTCTTATAAGAGAAGTAAAAGGCTATCTGTGGGAAAAAAGGAAGAAAAACCTTTTAAGGGAATAGGTAAATCCAGAAGCATGAAGAGCATACTGCCTAAAGAGTTGTACATAATGATAAGGAAAATAGCCACCATTTACTAAAAATTTATGCTATGTCAATGTCAATTCTAGGAAGACTGCACAAATTACTGCATTTAATCTTCACAATAAAAATATGCTTGTGATTTCACAGATTAAGGAAGAAATGGATGAACAAAACTGATATTCACCTAATATGCACTAGGACTATCTGTTTACTTCCATTATTCATTCTGAGTGATGAGCGCACCGTTCAGACAGGTAGTGAGCCTTGTCATAACCAGATTCAGGAAAATAACTTGCCCAAGGATATACAAATATGCCTAGCCAGGATATGTGGCAATATATTTGGCAATCTAACTTCAAAGCTGTCATTCTTCACCACACACTGTAACAGCACAAACGGACAGCACACTAAGATGGGCAAGGGATAAACCTAGAAAGGTACTGTCAGATCAAGAGGCACTACAAAGACATTCACGTGTAATATATGCGGAGACTGCAAACATGGGAGTGTTACAGAAGGACTAAGTCTGCATTTTTAGCACACTCATTGCTCCCAGGTGGTGATACCGTGTGCCACGATCACAGGTCTAAGCCAGATGCATGAGACTCCTCAGCAGACTCGCTGTTCTGCACAGAGCGGCCTGAGGCATAAATAAAAAGGCTGGAGGACAGCATGTATGCAAGTACTGCTCCTGGGTAGGAAAAGAACTTGAACAAAGGCATGTGTGGCAGGGAGAGATAAGGGGAAGAGCTGCCGGAGCTCTACTAAGGCAAGTTTTTCTTCCCCTAAATAAGTACAGAATACTTATTCAAGAGAAAACTAAATTGAAATCACTTGTCTGTCTCTGGCTCCAAGAAACCAAAGAATATCAAGTGTCAAAACCACAATGGCTTGCCGGGGATTTAGCTCAGCAGTTCGGTGCCTGCTTTGCAAGCGCAAGGACCCGCGTTCAATCCCCGGTACCAAAAAAA